CTTCCTCTGTGTGTATATCATGGTACCTTTGTGTGAATGCTCGTACATGCCTGAGTGTATATCTCACTTGCTTGTATATTAAGAGTGTGACAGTTTGGCAGTTTATGTTCTGGCTGCTGTCGTTCCTGTCCTGTCACACCAAATGACCCTGCAACAAGAACGGTAGCAACCAGAGAACATAAACTGCCAACATGTCACTCTTAATTTATTACCCCCATTAATACCATATTCATTTAATACCCCCATTCGTTTAATACCCCATGTATGTCATTCATCCATGTCACCATTAGAAGATGTAATAAGGAGCTACACAGAAGAAGTTGTCTTTGAGACTGTGAGGTGAGACCTTACGAAACGCATCACTAGGCGTCAGAAATCAGTAATAAGTAAAAATGAACTTTGGAGAGTTAATTTGTAATCTTCCTGCTTCAGTGAAGAAAACCACAAGGAATATCGAGAAGATTTGTGGTAGAATCATAAATCTAAAAGTTTCTGTCGTTTTCAACGAAATATGTTTAAAAGAAAGACTGTTACCAATATATATATATTGGTAGCAGTCTATATATATATATATATATATATATATATATATATATATATATATATATATATATATATATATATATATATATATATATATATATATATATATGTCGTACCTAGTAGCCAGAACGCACTTCTCAGCCTACTATGCAAGGCCTGATTTGCCTAATAAGCCAAGTTTTCCTGAATTAATATATTTTCTCTAATTTTTTTCTTATGAAATGATAAAGCAACCCATTTCATTATGTATGAGGCCAATTTTTTTTATTGGAGTTAAAATTAACGTAGATATATGACCGAACCTAACCAACCCTACCTAACCTAACCTAACCTATCTTTATAGGTTAGGTTAGGTTAGGTAGCCGAAAAAGTTAGGTTGGGTTAGGTTAGGTAGGTTAGGTAGTCGAAAAACAATTAATTCATGAAAACTTGGCTTATTAGGCAAATCGGGCCTTGCATAGTAGGCTGAGAAGTGCGTTCTGGCTACTAGGTACGAGGCAATATATATATATTATAATATATATATATAGAATATATATATATGGCTATATATATATATATATATATATATATATACCCGACCCCCGAGGAACTGGACGAGGTCTTCGAACACTGATTGGTATATTGTTATATTGTTATATAAGTGTGTGTTTTCTGTAAACTATAGCATTGCAATAAAATAAAAAAAAAAATAATAGGGGTGGTAGGAGAGGAAAAGATTAAAGTATTCAGTGAGAATCCACAAGGTCTTCTCTGAACACTATTTATTTTCTTCTTCGAGGATGTGGGTCCCTTTAATTAAACCAGTGATGGGTACCCCTATATATATATATATATATATATATATATATATATATATATATATATATATATATATATATAATATATATATATATATATAATATAATGTGTGTGTATATGTATATATGTATATATGCAAGTTGTGTGTATGTATAGAGCAGTGTTGCCAGCCTGTTCACACGCGTGCTTTGCTCTCTGACTTTTCGTGAGAATTTCACTTAGTTTGGGTTTTGTTGGGGAAAAAGTGACGCTTTTTTTGCGTGTCGCGGGAAAGTGAATTTCGCGGGGCAGCGGAAAAGTGAGTTTTGCACACAGGGGAGAGCACCATTTTGCATGTGAGGCCAAGTTTTGCATGACAAGGGGAAATTTTGAGTGTTAAAAGTTTTGCGTGATAAATCGAGTTTGGGATTAATTTTTTAAGGTTAAAGAAAGTTTTGCGGAGCCAAATCAAGTTATTCTTAATGGAGAAAGCTTTCTTTGTTAAATTAAGTTTTATATATAAGCTGTTGTATGCTTGATGGCTGACAAGTGGCAGAGTGATTTACGTGATAATAACAACCAATCCTCGAGACCAAGCAATAAGTCAAATACTGACTTAGTTGTTACAAAGTACAGTTTTGACTTATTCAGCACACAACCAAATGAGAGGATGAATCTTCCTGTTTATTATGACAGTTTTGTTTTTCTGAAATGTAATATTATTATTATTATTATTATTATGTAGTGTAGGGTTTTTGTATATTTAGGCCTAGGTAAGGTTAGGTGAGGTGTTGGGGTTACGGTGATCTAGGAAGTGTTTACACTACAGGCTGAAGGTGAACGAAGCACGAGTCATATAACCTCCAACGGGGCTTGTTAAGTGCAAATAGTGACTTATGTAGAGTTGTCGTAGTCAGAGTCTGACAGCCCTTTGTTGTGACGATGGGCTGGCTGGGTGATGACAGCTACACACCGATAGTCCTTATTGAATCTTTACTTAAGGAATAAATTTGTTGTTCAACATAGTGTGCTGCTGTTACCATGTTGTGTTGGGAGTCTGGAGCTTCGATTGTATCTTAGTACAGGTTGCAGGCGACGAGTCACAATAACGAGGCTGAAGTATGTTGACCAGACCACACACTAGAAGGTGAAGGCACGACGACGTTTCGGTCCGTCCTGGACCATTCTCAAGTCGATTGTGTTGTTGACAATCGATTTGAGAATGGTCCAGGACGGACCGAAACGTCGTCGTCCCTTCATTTGCTAGTTTGTGGATTGGTCACCTTAGTACAGGTTGTTAGGTTGTTTGTTGGGTCACTTGTGAGCCTCGTTACGGGGAGTGCAGCTGTTAACCCCGGGTCGTCCACACGGGGTGCTCACATTTAACTGTTGAGAGCCCAGGTCGACCCACGAATTATGAGCAGCTGAAAAACTCCGGACAAGACCAAACCACCATTTAAGACTCCATTGGGAGATCGTTGGGGTCACATTGCGAGCCGATCTTCTCGAACAGGGCCGAATCCCAGACCCACCTATGTTAGTCACCTACCCCTCCCCAATCATCCTGCAACGTTTATTGAGGGGACACACACACACACACACACACACACACACACATGTAAAGGAGGACACAAGAGCAAGAGGAGGAGACACACCAAGCCTCCTGGACTTGATCTTCACCCAGAATGATGAAGACATTGAGAACTTGAGGGCACCAAACACCAGCAGGAGCAAGTGACCGTTGTGTGCTGGTGTTGCCTACTTAGAAGGAAGACGGTCCAGGAAATGATTGACCAAGTCGAACTGAAATGCAAAGGGGCAGGAGAGAGATTCATACCACCATTAAGTGGAAAAACAAGGAGAACATGTAACAACCCGTGATTCAGTAGACAGTTCCAGGAAGCTCCAGGTGCCTGACGAACCACCTGGAGTTTTATGGTAAGGTAACGAGTTGCCTGGAGTTTTATGGTAAGGTAAGGTGGTTGCATGTTTCTGGACTGCCGCAAGGCCTTTGATACAGTACCACACAGAAGGCTACTATACACACTTGAGAGGCAGGCGGGGAAGACGGAAACGCACTGTCACGTGTAAGGAATTACCTGACAGACAGGTGTCAGAGATTGACAGTGAGGGGCGAGGAGTGGGACTGGCGTAGAGTAACAAGCGGGGTGCCTCAAGGATCGGTCCTGGGTCCAATTCTATTTCTAATATATATAAATGACTTGACTGCAGGAGTTGAGTCTTATGTCAAGTCTGCAGACGATGCAAAATTAATGAGGATTGAGACTGATGAGGATTGTAAGATTCTCCAGGATGACTTGAACAGGTTGCGGAGATGGTCTGAGGTTATGGTTAAGTTACTCTGAACATAACTAGAGTTCAACACTAACAAGTGCAAGGCGATGAAAATGGTGACAGGATCCAGAAGGCCAATATACGATTAAGAGAAAAAGGGTATACAACGTTAAGATTGAAAGACCTGGGAGTGGACATAACACTAAACCTAACACCAGAAGCTCATATAAACATAATAACGCCAGCAGCATACTCTACTCTAGCCAAAGTCACAACAGCCTTCAGAAACTTAAATAAAGTGGCTTTTAGATCACGATACACCGCCTGTGTGAGGCCAGTCTTAGAGTATGCCGCCCCGTCGTACTCAAAGGAGCAGGTTGTAGAGGATAACTCCATTAATAACTTTAAAAGTAGGTATGATAGGGAAATAGGTTAGGAGTCATTGCATTAGACAACACACGGTTAGAAAAGTGGGGTCAAAGACCTTGAGCTCGATCCTGCAAACACAGATGAGAACACACACACTCACATATGTACGTTAATATTATATACAGAGTGCATACTTATTTCGGGAAGTAAAATGTTTACAAAGTAGAAAGATAATTTAGAAAAATCTGATTTAGAAATAAATACACAATTTAGAATATATGTTTATGAATTCATTCATAACATAATTCATTCATATATAAATTCACGTAATGTTGTGGTTTTGTCAGTGTAAATTGTGTTTAATTAATTTACAAGTTGATTGATTGACAGTTGAGAGGCGGGCCCAAAGAGCCAGAGCTCAACCCCCGCAAGCACAACTAGGTGAGTTCACACCACCTGTTTTGGAACGCCGACATGACAGTAATATTGAAGAACCTTCCCATCCTCTCCTTGAGCTCATCTTTACCCTTCTGTCCACTAATTAATATGTCTTAACCCCTCACCCTCCCCCCCCCCCTCGTGGAGTTGGCCACGTTTTCTTTCACCTGATGCATCTGTTCACCTCGCAGTAAAATATTCACTCGTGGGGGTTAAACTGTTTTGAGTTGAATCCTGGGGGAACTCTATGTGTGTCATGGTGGGGCTCTGGCTCTTTGGTCCCGCCTGTCAACTGGGAGGGGGGGGGAGGTTTCCTGGATATAGGCCTAAGTACCGGGCTTCATGTCGTCGACAACAGAAATGATGAAATCTGTTTTTAAACAGTAGTTACATCCACAACAGGTCTCTGTAACAGATATTATTATTATTATATTTTTATCAAGAGCCTTAGTCTCTGTAACAGATAGGTGCTCACACTGCAGGTGCTCACATTAGGTATTATTATCACACTGCAGGTTTTATCACACTGCAGCCTTAGCTCACACTGCTGGTGCAACTGAAACACTGGTGCTCACCGAGGTGCTCACACTGCAGGTGTTCACATTGCAGGTGCTCACACTGCAGGTGTTCACACTGCAGGTGCTCACACTGCAGGTGCTCACACTGCAGGTGCTCACACTGCAGGTGCTCACACTGCAGGTGCTCACACTGCAGGTGCTCACACTGTAGGTGCTCACACTGCAGGTGCTCACACTGCAGGTGCTCACACTGCAGGTGCTCACACTGCAGGTGCTCACACTGTAGGTGCTCACACTGCAGGTGCTCACACTGCAGGTGCTCACACTGCAGGTGCTCACACTGTAGGTGCTCTCACTGCTGGTGCTCACACTGCAGGTGCTCACACTGCAGGTGCTCACACTGGTGCTCACACTGCTGGTGCTCACACTGCAGGTGCTCACACTGCAGGTGCTCACACTGTAGGTGCTCACACTGTAGGTGCTCACACTGCAGGTGCTCACACTGCAGGTGCACACACACTGCAGGTGCTCACACTGCAGGTGCTCACACTGCAGGTGCTCACACTCCCGCTCGTCTACTATGTTAATCCCACAACCCGCCTAATATTTGTGTTGTGGTTAGAATATGCAAATCTTAGGTCAGCATTTTCCGTCTCAGACATTTTTGTTTGGCGTGAGTGTGGCGGCGACACGCTAAGATGGCGGGAGGTTTGTCCGCCGCGGTAATAGTGGCTGGTGTGTTGTCTTGGACCCGAGAGACCTAGTCAAGCCAAACCCTTAATGACAGACAAATGGGATGCAGAGTCAAACGCACTCTGCTGTTAGAAGCATCCTCCTCCTCAGGAAATACGTGTCCATCATTCTATGTTCCACGGACATCTTCAAGAGAAAATTAGACTGTTTTCTAAAATACGTTCCGGACCAACCGGGCTGTGGTGGGTATGTGGGCCTGCAGGCCGCTCCAAGCAACAGCCTGGTGGACCAAACACTCACGAGTCAAGCCTGGCCTCGGGCCGGGCTTGGGGAGTAGAACAACACCCAGAACCCCATCAAGCAGGTATCAAACAGGAGAGGAGGCAATTAATTTCGCCTCCTCTGTGTTGGACAAACTTGAAGTAGTACAGAATGAAGCCATGAGGATAATTCTTGGTGCCCCAAGATGCACAAGAATCATCAACATGAGGGAAGAACTGAAGCTTCCAACCATACTAGAAAGAATCATGCAAGTCAACACGACCTTTTGCCTTAAAGTCATGAGAGATCCTACATCTCCTGCATTGCTCAGAGACAAATTATTTAGTGCTGTAAACACCCTTTTGACTGGTGCCGACATATCAACTCACTCCTTTTATGATAATTGGCTGAGCAACAATGCTTACAATCTCATTAAACTTAACATTCCTTTTAAGTGCAATCTACCTGTCTCTGATATTCCTCTTTATCTGTACCCCACCATTCAAGTATCATACACACCTGTCACCAAGAAAGGTAATGAGAATCTTGCTCTTCTCAAAGCTGTCACACTTGAAACAATTGAATTCTCCATTGAGAATTTAAGATCTCACGAGCACTGTGTCTACACCGACGGCTCAGTCCAATCTTCTACTGGACGGACTGCAGCGGCATGTAGGTTTTATAGAAATAATATTTGCACAAAGACTGTCAGTGTCAGGTTAAACAACTGGCTGACCTCCACACAAGCAGAACAAGCAGCATTACAACTAGCAACCAGTACATTAAAAAACATTGGAGGAGGAATAATATTTTGTGTTTCAAAGTCTGTCCCCCCACCAACAGTCCCCCCCCACCAACAGTCACCCCCACCAACAGTCCCCCCCCACCAACAGTCCCCCCCCACCAACAGTCCCCCCCCACCAACAGTCCCCCCCACCAACAGTCCCCCCCACCAACAGTCCCCCCACCAACATAGTCCCCCCACCAACAGTCCCCCCACCAACATAGTCCCCCCACCAACAGTCCCCCCCACCAACAGTCCCCCCACCAACAGTCCCCCCACCAACAGTCCCCCCACCAACAGTCCCCCCCCCCACCAACAGTCCCCCCCCACCACAGTCCCCCCCCACCAACAGTCCCCCCCCCCACCAACAGTCCCCCCCCACCAACATAGTCCCCCCCCACCAACAGTCCCCCCACCAACATTCCCCCCCACCAACAGTCCCCCCACCAACATTCCCCCCCCACCAACAGTCCCCCCCACCAACATAGTCCCCCCACCAACATAGTCCCCCCCCACCAACAGTCCCCCACCAACAGTCCCCCCCACCAACATAGTCCCCCCCAACATAGTCCCCCCACCAACATAGTCCCCCACCAACATAGTCCCCCACCAACATAGTCCCCCATCAACATAGCCCCCCACCAACATAGTCCCCACACCAACATCCCCCCACCAACGGTCCCCCCCACCAACAGTCCCCCCCCACCAACAGTCCCCCCCCCACACAACAGTCCCCACCCCCACCAACAGTCCCCCCCCACCAACAGTCCCCCCCCCCACCAACAGTCCCCCCCCACCAGTCCCCCCCACCAACAGTCCCCCCCACCAACAGTCCCCCCCACCAACATAGTCCCCCCAACATAGTCCCCCCACCAACATAATCCCCCCCGCCAACAAGTCCCCCCACCAGCATCGTCCCCCCCACCAACATAGTCCCCCCACCAACATAGTCCCCCCCCACCAACATAGTCCCCCCACCAACATAGCCCCCATCAACATAGTCCCCCCCCACCAACATAGTCCCCCCCCACCAACATAGTCCCCCCCACCAACATAGTCCCCCCCCACTAACATATCCCCCCTACCAACATATTCCCCCCACCAACATATTCCCCCCACCAACATATTCCCCCCACCAACATAGTCCCCCCCACCAACATAGCCCCCCCACCAAGATAGCCCCCCCCACCAACATAGCCCCCCCCCCCCCCCCCCCCACCAACATAGCCCCCCCCCACCAACATAGCCCCCCACCAACATATTCTCCCCCACCACATAGCCCCCCCCACCACATAGCCCCCCCCCCACCAACATAGCCCCCCACCAACATAGCCCCCCACCAACATGACCCCCCCCATACCAAGATAGCCCCCCCCCACCAACATAGTCCCCCCACTAACATAGCCCCCACCAACATAGCCTCCCACCAACATACCCCCACCAACATAGCCCCCCCACCAACATACTCTCCCCCCACCAGCATAGTCCCCCAACCAACATAGCCCCCACCAACATAGTCCCCCCACACCAACATAGCCCCCCCACCAACATAGCCCTCCCCCACCAACATAGCCCTCCCCACCAACATAGTCCCCCCACCAACATCGTCACCCACCAACATCGTCCCCCCCACCAGCATCGTCCACCCACCAACAGTCCCCCCACCAACAGTCCCCCCCCACCACAGTCCCCCCCACCACCACCAGTCCCCCCCCACCAACAGTCCCCCCCACCAACAGTTCCCCCCCCCACCAACAGTCCCCCCCCACCACAGTCCCCCCCCCACCAACAGTCCCCCCCCACCAACAGTCCCCCCCAACAACATCCCCCCCACCAACAGTCCCCCCCACCAACAGTCCCCCCCACCAACGTAGTCCCCCCCACCAACAGTCCCCCCCACCAACAGTCCCCCCCACCAACAGTCCCCCCACCAACAGTCCCCCCACCAACAGTCCCCCCACCAACAGTCCCCCCCCCCACCAACAGTCCCCCCACCAACATAGTCCCCCCCCCCACCAACATGTCCCCCCCACCAACAGTCCCCCCACCAACAGTCCCCCCCACCAACCCCCACCAACTGTCCCCCCACCACATAGTCCCCCCACCAACAGTCCCCCCACCACAGTCCCCCCCACCAACAGTTCCCCCCCACCAACAGTCCCCCCCCACCAACATCCCCCCCCACCAACAGTCCCCCCCACCAACAGTCCCCCCCAACCAACAGTCCCCCCCAACCAACAGTCCCCTCCCACCAACAGTCCCCCCCCCACCACAGTCCCCCCCCCCCCACCACATAGTCCCCCCCCCCCCCCCACCAACAGTCCCCCCCCACCAACAGTCCCCCCCCCCACCAACAGTCTCCCCACCAACAGTCCCCCCCCACCAACAGTCCCCCCCACCCCACATCCCCCCCCCACCAACATATTCCCCCCCATCAACATAGTCCCCCCCACCACAGTCCCCCCACCAACAGTCCCCCCCCCCCCCCACCAACAGTCCCCCCCACCAACATAGTCCCCCCACCAACATAGTCCCCCCCCCCACCAACATCCCCCACCAACAGTCCCCCCACCAACAGTCCCCCCCCACCAACAGTCCCCCCACCAACATAAGCCCCCCCCCCACCAACAGTCCCCCCCACCAACAGTCCCCCCCACCAACCCCCACCAACAGTCCCCCCACCAACATAGTCCCCCCCACCAACAGTCCCCCCACCAACAGTCCCCCCCACCAACAGTCCCCCCTCCAACAGTCCCCCCCACCAACAGTCCCCCCCACCAACAGTCCCCCCCACCAACGTCCCCCCAACCAACAGTCCCCCCCAAACCAACAGTCCCCACCCAACCAACAGTCCCCCCCCACCAACAGTCCCCCCCCACCAACAGTCCCCCCCCCACCAACAGTCCCCCCCCCCCAACAGTCCCCCCCCTCACCAACAGTCCCCCCCACCAACAGTCCCCCCACCAACATAGTCCCCCCACCAACATAGTCCCCCCCACCAACATAGTCCCCCCCACCAACAGTCCCCCCCCCACCACAGTCCCCCCCCCCACCAACAGTCCCCCCCCACCAACAGTCCCCCCCACCAACAGTCCCCCCCCCCACCAACATAGTCCCCCCCAACATAGTCCCCCCCCACCAACATAGTCCCCCACCACATAGTCCCCCCACCAACATAGTCCCCACCCACATAGTCCCCCACCAACATAGTCCCCCACCAACATAGCCCCCACCAACAGTCCCCCCCACCACATCCCCCACCAACAGTCCCCTCACCAACATCCCCCCCACCAACAGTCCCCACCCACCAACAGTCCCCCCCCCCCCACCAACAGTCCCCCCCCACCCACAGTCCCCCCCCCCCCCACAGTCCCCCCCCACCAACATCCCCCCCCCACCACAGTCCCCCCCCCACCAACAGTCCCCCCCCCCAACAACAGTCCCCCCCCCACCAACAGTCCCCCCCCACCAACAGTCCCCCCCACCAACAGTCCCCCCCCACCAACAGCCCCCCCACCAACATCCTCCCCACCATATAGTCCCCCCACCAACAGTCCCCCCCACCAACAGTCCCCCCCCACCAACAGTCCCCCCCACCACAGTCCCCCCCCACCAACAGTCCCCCCCACCAACAGTCCCCCCACCAACAGTCCCCCCCCCCACCAACAGTCCCCCCACCAACATAGTCCCCCCCCCACCCACAGTCCCCCCCACAACATCCCCCCCCACCAACCCCCACCAACAGTCCCCCCACCAACATAGTCCCCCCCAACCAACAGTCCCCCCACCAACAGTCCCCCCCACCAACAGTCCCCCCTCCAACAGTCCCCCCCACCAACAGTCCCCCCCCACCAACAGTCCCCCCCAACCAACAGTCCCCCCAACCACGTCCCCCCCCAACCAACAGTCCCCCCCCAACCAACAGTCCCCCCCCACCAACAGTCCCCCCCCCACCAACAGTCCCCCCCACCAACAGTAACCCCCCCCCACCAACAGTCCCCCCCACCAACAGTCCCCCCCCCACCAACATAGTCCCCCCACCAACATAGTACCCCCCCACCAACATAGTCCCCCCCACCAACAGTCCCCCCCCACCAACAGTCCCCCCCACCAACAGTCCCCCCCCCCACCAACAGTCCCCCCACCAACATAGTCCCCCCCAACATAGTCCCCCCACCAACATAGTCCCCCACCAACATAGTCCCCCACCAACATAGTCCCCCACCAACATAGCCCCCACCAAACAGTCCCCCCACCAACAGTCCCCCCACCAACAGTCCCCCCCACCAACAGTCCCCCCCCACCAACAGTCCCCCCCACCAACAGTCCCCCCACCAACAGTCCCCCCCCACCAACAGTCCCCCCCACCAACAGTCCCCCCCCACCAACAGTCCCCCACCAACATAGTCCCCCCAACATAGTCCCCCCCACCAACATAATCCCCCCCACCAACAATGTCCCCCCACCAGCATCGTCCCCCCCCCACCAACATAGTCCCCATACCAACTAGTCCCCCCCACCAACATAGCCCCCATCAACATAGTCCCCCCAAATAGTCCCCCCCACCAACCTAGTCCCCCCACCAACATAGTCCCCCCCACTAACATATCCCTCCTAACAACATATTCCCCCCACCAACATAGTCCCCCCCCACCAACATAGCCCCCCCACCAACATAGCCCCCCCCACCAACATAGCCCCCCACCAACATATTCTCCCCCACTAACATAGCCCCCCCCACCAACATAGCCCCCCCCACCAACATAGCCCCCCCACCAACATAGCCCCCCACCAACATAGCCCCCCCCCCACCAACATAGCCCCCCCCCACCAACATAGCCCCCCCCCCCACCAAGATAGCCCCCCCACCAACATAGTCCCCCCACTAACATAGCCCCCACCAACATAGCCTCCCACCAACATTGTCCCCCCACCAACATACCCCCACCAACATAGCCCCACCAACATAGCCCCCCCACCAACATAGTCTCCCCCACCAGCATAGTCCCCCCCACCAACATAGTCCCCCCACCAACATAGCCCCCACCAACATAGTCCCCCCACACCAACATAGCCCCCCACCAACATAGTCCCCCACTAACATAGTCACCCTCCAATATAGTTCCCCCCCACGAACATTGCCCCTCAATAACATAGCCCTCCTCCACCAACATAGCCCTCCCCACCAACATAGTCCCCCCGCCAACATAGTCCCCCCACCAACATAATCCCCCACCAACATAGCCCCCACCAATATTTCCCCCCCCCCACGAACATAGTCCCACCCACCAACATATTCCCCCCACCAACATATTCCCCCCATCAACATATTCCCTCCACCAACATATTCCCCCCACCAACATATTCCCCCCACCAACATATTCCCCCCACCAACATATTCCCCCCCCCACCAACATATTCCCCCCCCACCAACATATTCCCCCCTCACCAACATATTCCCCCCCCACCAACATATTCCCCCCCCCCCCACCAACATATTCCCCCCCCCCCCACCAACATATTCCCCCCTCCAACATAGCCCCCCACCAACATAGCTCCCCACCCTCCCCACTAAGCAACCACTGAGGGCACCAAAGTGGGATCACCAAGAAGTTACAGGAGAGTTATGGAGCATTGTGAGTGAGAATTCCAAGTGTGGTATTTTGGGCGAGCGGTAATTATTCCCCGCACAATGGACGTGGACGGGAATTAGCAGAGGCAAAGAACTGGAATCAGAAGAAGAATGGCAGAAGTGGGAATTGTTGAAGTCGGACTGTGTCTGTCTGTTTGTTTGGGCGCTCTCTTGGGGGTTGGTTTGTTTTTTTTTTCTCAGTTCTGAGCGAGTGTTTTTTTTTTTAATTTTTTTTTTATTTAACTTTATTTTCCGTTGTCTTGTTTTAAACGTTGGTATTGTTTGTAACTCTTGAACGTTTCTATTTTATTTCGTTGTATTAAGATTTATTTTTTTATTATTCAATGGCTTTTATTTTTGTCTGTAATAAATTTCATTGCATTTTTTACAATCTGTTTTACCTTAAATGTTTATATCCTCTATTTTATTCAACTAAACGTTCTATTAAACATTTTATTATATTTAAAGTCCATGTCCCTGCGTCACTCGTGTGGTGGTCACTCACCACCACACTGAGTGACCTTTGACCTGTCACCTAGGTCAAAGGTGACATTTGACCTCGGTGACAAAGGTGACGCAGTCATTTCCAAACCTCCTAGCAGTGTCTCAAGTTTCTTGACACCTTTCTTGAGCTCTTGTATCGAACGCTTGACTCGTTTATGTGTAACTTTACTTATTGTAACTTTTGTCCTCATTCTCATTCTCCTCTTGTTTTAATTTTCTTATTTTTCTAAATTAGTTTTTTCTCATTTCTCTATTGTATGGATGTGATCGTTCTCAGTATTTACCTTTCATTTATACTGCTGCTATTCCAGGGGTGACTGCTCTATGGTGACCTGTGAAGCTCTTCTGGTCACAGAATAGCAGATAGACTAAGAGTACTTCATTCTCTATGAATAAGTCCTGTTGTGTTGGGGCCACAGAACCGCGTCTCTACCGGTTCTACACCATTTATTTCATACTATAAATGATAATCTTAATTCTGTTTCTTCTAATTTTTCTCCAAACGTGTTTTCATATTTTTCTTATTATTTTTCCCATATTATTCTGATTTTCCGTTTTCACTCTCCTCTTCTCTTCTTCATTTAATTCACGTTGTGTAACAGTAACAGTAATCACGCTCGGACATCATAATGGCATGATATATGTAAAAACTTCTCCTAATGAGTTCGATACCTCAAGAACACTATTGGATTCAGGAGAATCTCAGGGTAAATTAATTTTAGATTATCGTGGTCCAGTGGGTTAAGGCGCTCGGCTGGGGAGACCCAGAACGCTTGTTCGAATCCTCAGCTTGATCTAATGATTTTCGAGAAATAATAATAACGAAGCAATAATTATCGTATCACCCAGTCTATTTATTTTTTTTTGCTTTGGAAAGACTCGCATGCAACTTACTTTATATGTTAGCAATATGCGCCTGTAATCTATGCAACAGTTTCCTGGACTACGGTAAAAAATTATAGGTTTGTGAACAGTTTTCCAGGGCTTGGGAAACTGTTTTAACGACGTGGTTTACCTGTTTACAGTGTGTGTGGGGGGGGGGGGAGTTTTTTGTTAACTTTTTTAAGGATTTTTTTTGGCATTTTTTTATTTGGTTAAATTTTTCCTTTGCCATATAAATATCCGTGGAGAACTTCTTTGCATATATATATATATATATATATATATATATGTCGTACCTAGTAGCCAGAACGCACTTCTCAGCCTACTATTCAAGGCCCGATTTGCCTAATAAGCCAAGTTTTCATGAATTAATTGTTTTTCGACAACCTAACCTACCTAACCTAACCTAACCTACCTTTTTCGGCTACCTAACCTAACCTAACCAATAGAGATAGGTTAGGTTAGGTTAGGTAGGATTGGTTAGGTTCGGTCATATATCTACGTTAATTTTAACTCCAATAAAATAAATTAACATCATACATAATGAAATGGGTAGCTTTATCATTTCATAAGAAAAAAATTAGAGAAAATATATTAATTCAGGAAAACTTGGCTTATTAAGCAAATCGGGCCTTGCACAGTAGGCTCAGAAGTGCGTTCTGGCTACTAGGTACGACATATATATATATATATATATATATATATATATATATATATATATATATATATATATATATATATATATATATATATATATATATGTCGTACCTAGTAGCCAGAACGCACTTCTCAGTTCTCAGCCTACTACGCAAGGCCGATTTGCCTAATAAACCAAGTTTTCCGGAATTAATATATTTCTCTAATTTTTTTCTTATGAAATGATAAAGCTACCCATTTCATTATGTATGAGGTCAATTTTTTTTATTGGAGTTAAAATTAACGTAGATATATGACTGAACCTAACCAACCCTACCTAACCTAACCTAATCTATCTTTATAGGTTAGGTTAGGTTAGGTAGCCGAAAAAGTTAGGTTAGGTTAGGTTAGGTAGGTTAGGTAGTCGAAAAACAATTAATTCATGAAAACTTGGTTTATTAGGCAAATCGGGCCTTGCATAGTAGGCTGAGAAGTGAGTTCTGGCTACTAGGTACGACATATATATATATATATATATATATATATATATATATATATATATATATATATATATATATATATGTCGTACCTAGTAGCCAGAACTCACTTCTCAGCCTACTATTCAAGGCCCGATTTGCCTAATAAGCCAAGTTTTCCTGAATTAA